AATGGGTTTGTTAGCATTAATACTCTCCTAATAGCATCCACTATATATGAAATTTTTGTATTAGGCTGAGGAGCCGCTTCTCAAAAAGTTTATTTTTCACCGGGATCACACAAGCATTGATAGCGATAACTATGGTTAACCTTCTTAAGTGTACCCTATTAATTTTGGAATGGAATTGAGAAACAGGGGTTTTAAAATCACTACCCAGTGAAACTAAGATCAGTACATTTTACTGCACTTTTACTTGAAACACCCCGCCTGATATTTGTGACAAAATGAGCTATGTGATCAACTGAGGTACAGGAACTCACCCATCTTGGCCGCTTCAAAGGCCGCACCTAATCGGATGTCACGACGCTCATTCTTTCTGGCTATAATGCCAGTAATTGCATCAACTGGAGTTATCTTTGCTGATGAAAGGCGAGCATCATGTTCTGTCATGATACTTTCCTCCTGAAGACGAGCTGAGGCCTCCTTGTCACCAAGACGGTGGGCCCATTCAAAAGCCCGTTGGTTTGCGTCATCTGAGGGCTCTTGCACCGAGTGCTTGGAGAGGACTGTTGCCAGGTTAGTGAAGAAGGTCATGAGAGACAGGAGAGCATCTTTGTGCAGTCGCACCTGAATTCCAGGAGAAGAAAAGTTGTTGTTGTTGTTTGGCTTTACTGCACATTAACCACCGAGTATCTTGAAATACCAAGCTAGGTCTTGAATAAGACCGGTGGCGTAGGGTACTTGAGCTAAATTTTCCAATGACCTACAAGTCACATGTTTGGCTACAACTGTGTAAACCGCAGTTGACTGACTCACGGCCACCACTAAGAGCAAAAAGGACTGTTTAGGGGCTGCAATAAGGTACTTCTGTATAAGAGCACGTGGCAATCGAGGGACATAGGAGCAACAGTGGTTCAGATTCGATTTGTACTTGACGCCCCAAAAATTTGCTTAGGAATTAGGAACTAAAGGTTGATTTTGACACAATGGCCATAACAATGTCAGGTAGTGTCAAGTGAAAAGCTCGAATAAGACGCATTAGATGGAAGATACTAAAAGTGTAAATATGAATCAAGCACGATTACACGAGGGATTAACAAGAAAACAAATATAAGAGAAATCTGCAGTTTCAAAACAAGTTATTGACTACACCATTTACGCCGGAATAAGCATTCGTCCTGCGTGCCAAGCCCCATTCAGGAAAGTACGCAGTACCAGGCAAAAAGACTCAAAGCATTTAGTAAAGAGCACGTAAGTTTAAACATTGCAGGCTTGAATGACCATTAGACTTGGGCTCTGTCGAGGCAGCGAATGACCAAGGCTTTTATCCTGATATTTGGGACAGCGTTCCAGGTCATAATTATAAACACATATACTGTATTTAATAATAGATTAGTTCGTGACAACGTGGAAATCAAGTGCAGCAAAAATCCTATTTTCGAAGATTCTACGTGCTTGACCCAACCTCTGTGTGCTTAGAAATGCTTCCAGAGTCATGGATTCTCATTTGCTGAAAGTGCACAGGTTTTGATCCATTAAATTAACCGCTTCAACAGAATTTGTATATAGGAAACAGATTCATACAGATCGTTAAATGACAAATAAGTTGAACTACATGTTGGGATAAGTTCCTAATTACTTCTAAATCAAGCTCCTTCAGATTTTCCTTTGTAAGCTCGACACATTTATTTTACATATTTGAAAAACAACCTGAGAAATGATCCGATTGGACTTCGTTTAGTAACAAGCTTGCTTGTTTTTTCCTCCACACACGAAGGTCAGCATGGCGATGTCAATTTGCTCAGAAGACAACTAAATTTGTCAAGGAGTGCGCATTTGCTAGTAATTTTGCATAAATTGTAGTAGGTAAGGTGACAGGCAAAGTAGAGACAGAGTACAAAAGATGGCAATTTTTCGCATACCTTTAACACTCTAAATTCACAGACAAGACTATGACGGACGTTTTCATATTTGGTGGCGAAATCAGGACACGTCTTGTCAGCAATGAGGAGACTCGATGTGAAGAGATGACCACCCTCCTGGGTCGCCGTAGAGCTAATCGGTTCCGTAGCTGAGGTCGAGAGAGTTTCCACAAGACAAACAGCACCAGAGCTCTGATTTTCCTGAAAACGCGGAGAAATCACACGCAGACGGTTCACGTGGGCCTGAAAGAGTGAAAAGCATCTTTGATTGCAACAAAAACCACAACCATGATAAGCATAGCGTGCAATATCCACAACCTACTTGTGGACTATTGATACGCCAAAAAAGCTTCAGGCCTTGGCGTACGCAGCTCCAAAACTTGTGAACCGGACACCAATGAACAAAGGCTCATGAAACTACATTCAGACAAGACGTGTCTAGAGAGAAACAATAAACTAACCCAATAAACGGTTCGATGTCAACATCTTTTTGGATTTTGGTTCAATGGACTGCGCACAAGTGACTGAGGTTGAAACAATACCGAAAGTTGCACAAAGGCGTTGAGCCGATATCTCTGGTCTTGACACTTAAGGTATACTTGACTGTGACTTGCCAAACAAAAATCCACCTTAGGTGCTATGGCAGGTACTGTTTACGGCAAAGACGAGGAGGAGGAGGAGGAATGCACGCCAAGAACACAAATGAGATAACCCTAGTGGATAATTATGGTGTACCTTAATTTCCTGATCCCATCTGCGCAGAGTAAAGTTGGCTCCGATCTCATTGATGGTAAACATTAACAGTGGGGTCAAGTTATCAGAAGAGTCCACAGAGCCTAGCCTCTCAAACACGCGAACGCGCACCTGCAAGGAGTGACAGTGTGTAAAGGGATGAGACAATGCAAAAGATGAAAAACAAGCGGACTTTTTACTACTCACTTCCTCGATTAAGAAGGTAGCGTTAATCGTCACAAGATTTGCCAAAGGCTTGAGCGTTGGTTTCTAAATAAAATTAAATTAACTATCACAATCACTTGAAATGAAGATATGTGCAATAGTGGTGATGGTAACGTCAGGCATCCTTACATGTGGAACAATAAAATGTAACTACCTGAATATCGGAAGGATCGGCGTTCTCACGAGAGTCAAAAAAGACATCGTTCTCGTCCTCCGTTGGGTCGGGTTCAGGAGAAAGCGGACGGGGGACAGCCCCAGCAATTCGCAAAGTATGCATTGTTTGCAACTGACTTGGCAATAGATCTTCCGACTTGGCATCAAAGAATGTGGCATCCTGAAGAAAAGTGGCAATTTCGCAAAATGACCTACTAAAATTCTCATAAAGCTTGTCTGAATGACAGCCAAATTACAAGGAATCTTAAGAAAACTAACAGAGTACAGGCGAGTTTCCCTCGTTGAACGGTTTTACATCGATATTTTCCAACTTTTCTAGATCAGGCATGGGTAATCAAAAGCATCGATATTTGAAGTAATTGCCAAATCCACCTTTGTGGATTGTTACAAATTCACATTTTCTCCAGAAACTGTGGTGATGTTTAGATGAAAAAGTGTGTTGATTGATAAAGAGTCCTGTCTGATGATAAAATTAGCTCTTTAGAATTCACGTTGAAATTTTTTTTTCCACGAAAAAAAAACTTAAGCATGATCAGCCACACACCAGCAAGCGCATGTGCTAAAAAAGTGACAGTTTGGGAACCAGAGCTTAATTCAGTTTTTTAAAAAAACGTACTTTGAGAAGATCGTTTCGGTCAACCGGAATCCGTTGAGAAGAGTCTGCTTCGGGTAATGGAATATGAGCAACAATGTCCAAGAGAGACTCCAACACGTGGTCCGTCAAGTCGATGCCAAGAAGAGGAAGGCGGCCATCCACTTGGAACCTGAAAAGAGATGCACGAAATTAAAACGCATCGAGGGCACGCGTGCTGACATAACTTTTTATTGACCTCCAGCATTTCCACTGAACGATTTCACTTCTAAATTGCAAATAAAGATCTGCACGTCGAACACTTGTTGTGTGATTGTGTAATAGGTTTTTGTTCCATTTATGTGGAGTTCGTTTGGAAACAGTTAGAATTCGGTTACATCTAGGCCACACTGATTCTGAGTTGACGAGCAGGGACATAATACTTCAAGAACTCACAGTTATCACCTTACTTAAGACTTAAGGTTTAAGTTGCACTTTCGACACCCAAAAGTCCCAAGCGTTATTACAAATGCACCCACTACAGCGGTACGAACTTTCAGGCAGTTTGTGTATGTGCCACGTTGTTACATTTCAATATATTCTGTGGGAGGCGACACTGACAATCACGCGTAGCGAGTGTAAACTTGAAGGGGGCGTTCAGGTTGATTGTGATGCCATCAATGTTCCACAGTGCTGCAGAGCTCGTAACGCCAACTGATGAATCGATTTCTAACTACACAAACCGGTAGGGCACGCATCAGTGTCACAAAAATCTCCACTGATATCAACTTACTGAGGTAGGTTGAATTCGCGAGGTACGGTGCAGCGACGCAATACGAAGTTTATGCCCAGGGGCTTGAGAACGTGACTTGTGGTGCTGGTTTGAGAACGCATCGTTCTCCAATTCTCACCTAGGAGAGTAGAAATAAAACTAGAACAAATCCTCTTACAGTTGATTCATCTGCAGGCAATTAAGCCATATTTGAAAAGAATCTTATCAAAAGGTAAAGTTGGGTTCAATCATATAATTTTAGTTCATAACATCGGGGTACAAATAAATTAACAACAACACGAAGACAAGTATTAGACTACTACCATACTTTGCTCGCTTCTGGTAGTGCGGCTGATTTTTCAAATTCTTAAGAGACAAAAGAATTTTTCGATTATTTATGGTGGGAAATCAGTTAATTGGCTGCGGCGCAATTCAAGGACAGAAAAAAAATATACTTGCGCTCAACCGTATCTACTAGAAATTACTGTCTAGGGATTGTTGTCAAAAAGCACAAATTTATGCTTTTCTTAAACTGCTTTAACTTACAACACCCACGATCATTGTCGACATTACGAAGACCTAACTCCCCGCGCATTTTTAGCCACCGGATTCAGACGGTCCCATTTAGTGGTAATTGATGAGCTGGGAAAAAGTCTTGGACCATAATCGCGTGACCACTACTTGTAGTAAAGCGAAATTGATCACAGACGTTACGTTAGTGCGACTGGCATTGAAGGTGATAAGAAAATCGTAGTATACACACAAGGAAAACCAATATTAAGTACCTTTCTCCACCACAATGACCTGAGTGGCAGATAAGGTGACATTAAACTGATCGTAGGCTTCGGACAACAATTTGGCATGGTTGGCCTGCATCAGTTGTTTATAACGCTCGTCCGACTGGGCTCGGCCAACGACAGGAGCCAAGGCGAAGGTGATGGATGCTTTGTCTTCTGAACTGGCACTTGGAGCTTCCTGATTGGTGACATTCACCTCATCGGTTCTAGGGAGGTCCAGCTGGGCCCTTGTTGATCGAATACTTACACTGCCAAAGTCTACCAAAATGAGGCGGCAGCCTCTGGCAGCAAAAAGGGGATAAAAACAAAAAAATTTACATAGTTGATGAATTGTTCAACACTCAGAGGTATTTGTTAGTTGGCCTTAAACAATTTACGTGTCCTCCCTATAAGGACGAATCTTCTTATCATAAAAGATTAAACAGGCATTTCGTAAATAGAGCCCAAAGTAAAAAAACTTGATAGATTTATGAAACAAATGATCATTCATTATTCACTAGTTTACGTGTTAAATATAAATAATGTGTACCATGGCGACTTCAGGAATACATTTGAGAGGTTACTGCAGAAGCAATGTCCATTTGTTAGTATACATCTTTCGGATAGTATTTATTAAAATGTCGTCTCTCGTTATAGCTTTGACAGTGGAATTAACTAATCTAGATCAATTTCACCAGAGGTCATATTTATGAATAAAAACTATCTTGATCATGGCTCTTCGCGTTACATAGAAATCAAGTAAACGGAAATTACATTTGTAGCAGCTTGTTACCTAATACGCTAACAGCCAGAAACCCCCTAAAACTAATCACAGACCCTGGTCAAAACTAAACAAACAAGAAATCTATGAGCAGGTGTGTGATTAATTTTGGCAGCTCTTACAATGTGGTTATACTGGGACAGAAAAAAATGCATGAATTTCAGGGCCACAACATTTGGCAAGCATTACACGGGATAACGGAAATTGGGGTATTTTGGAACAAAGTAGCCTTACTCGCACACACATAGACAGCATTCAATGAAGGTATTTTACAAATTCCATGGCTGCCTTGAATTTCAGCTTCTTCGCGCGTTTTTCCAGTAATGTAATCATGGCCAATTGGTTGGCCTTAAGCGATGGGGCAAGCTCCAAAATAGGTGGATACAACCAAGCAAGTCGAAGTTCACATTTTCAAAAGCTCCAGAGCACTCTAAGGAATCGCAATAATTCTCCCACACCGGTGACGGAGAGTCACACAGATTCAAGGCCCGTTTCAGGGGCGAGAAGTAACCCTAACTGAGGTGATACAACTGATTGATCCTCGGACAATTACATCACAGTAACGTTTGCTTACTGGCGATATGAGTTACAACATAAAGAGCGAATTAGTTTACAAAGTCAAACTTGATGTGATTTATGATTACCTCGTTGGGAGAAAACAAATAAAAATTTGACAAAAAGAATTTTATCGACTAATGATTGAGAAATTAATTCACCGAGGTTTGTATCCATGACATCTGCTAACTAAGGCTTAATTGCTAGTCACTACCACACAGATTGTATGTTAATCAAGACCTTTGATACCGACGAGCAATTGAAAGTGTAACGAAGCCCAAAAGCAACAGCTGTGAAAACAGTATGTGCACAGCGACAATTGTCAAATGCAAACTCATTTTTAAGTAGAAATAAAGAAAGTTTGAAAAAAAGAGTAAAATCTGCACTGAAATAGAAGTGAGCGCAGGGCTTTTGGGGGCGGGGCAAACTGCCGTTCTAGGTCACGCGTCCGTACCTACATTCGGATCCCACACCACGCTATAAACCAGTTTTTTTGTCTTTTTAAAAGAAATATAGACTAAAGCATGAATGAGCGGACGTGTTTACTTTTCACTATTTTATGGCCTTTAACTGAAGGTGGTGGGTTGGTGCTTTAACACTTGAATCTGGGGAAACAGGGCGGAAGTTGTTACCCCTGGGCCGGACTGCAGACATATCACTAACAAGATGTTAGACGAAGTGGAAACAAGAGGCACCACTCACTCCTTGTACACCCCGAGATCTGGAAGAATGAAGTAGCTTGGTTGAATGTCGATTACGACATCAAGATACGTTCTCTGGCTGACGAGGTGGCGCAGTCCAGTGGTCGTCATAGCCTTCATTTCGTCAAGAGACGGTACCACGGTCGAAGATATTCTAAAGTTGTCACAAAGGAAACACATTAGATATTTAGGACGTACTAGCGCTTGAAAAAAGCAACAACTGAAATGAAAGTAAAATTTGCAGCATTCTTAAAGACTAGTATAATCAATGAACCAATTTTCGTAAATTATATGCATTTTGTGAAGCAAACATCTGAAGTGTAGATTTAGTACCTTCGTGGGTAATGTAGTTTATTGTGGAGAAATTTAACAAGTACGAATTTAACCAAGACACTAATATATAATATAAAATCTAAAGAAGTTGCCATGGGTTTAATGAGACGCTAAAAGACAGCAGAGTGTTTACAAATTACATTGTTTCCATCAAGTACTAAGATTGATATAAGCACTAAAGCCCAACATCTGCGCAATGCTTGGGGTGACCAATATTCAATTAATTTACGCTACTTATATATTACTTACCACTGCTATAGTAACTCGAGAGATTCCGTGACATTATTTCATAACCTCGCACCATACAGGCTTTGAAAATCGGGATAGTTATTAAGGCAAATTGCTTCCGGGTCAAAATCACATAGCTTATTTATGAATAACCCACAATGTAGGAACTGAATTGCGATGGAAAGATATAAAACTTAAAAATCTTGAACCACAACTCAGATCTTGGGTTTTAACGACTAATTTGAATAACAGAGTTAAGTCTGCAAGGTGAGCGTGTTGATGGTGAACTTAGATGGCAATTTTTTTTGAAAGTAGCACACTCCGAATACAGCAGATGTCGCACACTTAATACTGGATTATATGAAAAGACAATTATTACAATCTAGTGCAAACCGCAACTAAAAGAACTAAGCAAATGCTGTAGGAAAACCGATGGATGTGATGTGCGTACCCGTAAAGTTACACGCGTAAGAACAAAGTAGTGATCTACTTCAAAAAGAGGTAAATGTTTGAACTTTTTCTGAGAAGTAAGAAGGTTACACAGAAAAATAACCTAGGATATACAAATACCTGGATCAACAAAAAAAACGTTGCAACATACTCATCCAGTCGAAGATCGGCGGGTAATTTAAAGAAGTCGGCAACTTTATTGATCGTGTCTGCGTCATAGATGACCTCGAGTGGAGCGGCCGAAATCAGGAGGCGCTGGTCGGCAGAACGGTCGATGGGATTTTTCGAGAAGTCCACAGAAAGCAACGATTCTCCCGCAGCCGTGCTTGAAATGAGAACCGGAACAATACCTGTAGAGGTGTTCCTTGTACCCACAGCCTCGAAGCCCACAAGACGCACCGAGAAGCTAAATTAAGGAAAACGAAACTTGAAATCGTGGAAACGGGAATTCAAACTGTGGATTTCACGTGTACAAGGTAGAATCATTCAGAAGAAACAGTCGGGAAGTATAATTTTAAAGAAGCGGTAGAGCACGCGGTTAACGTGACACAGCCAAGCACACCAGCAGTTTAATCACTTTCGACACTGAACTTGAATGGTTAGCACCAAAGGAAATTCGTGGTTCCCGTGGAATTATCACACGGCACAATGTTGGGCAAGCGTGTTCTACGAAATGTCCAAGCCAGTAATGGACACGAAAGGTGTCCTACCGCAAATACACCAGTTTGCTCAACAAAAATAACTCACTCTAGAGCATTATCTCCCGAGCGCTGTTTGAAATTAGCAGTAACTGTACTCAAACGTATCTTCAATATTCCAGGATTTCTAAAAGAAAAATGCTGTATGAATGTAATGCACGCATGTAACGCCAAGCAGTTCTATGGAAAAGCCCCCAAATTGGATCCTCAAGCGAAGCCTCGCTCAAGTCCTTTCAAAAGGCGCGCAACCCCGTTAATTGTCACGCTACCCCTTCATAAGTTGCTCATCCAAGTGCACATCTAAGTTCCAGGGGTGTAAGTGCTTATTAGGTTTCGTAAGGAGTAAATACTTTAAAATATGATGATTTGCAATGTGTTGTTAGAAAGAGGCTGTAATTATTAATGAACACAAGTTTAATCACATTGCACACACTCCTACCAAGTTTCCACATCTTATAGAAATCGAGTAATACACCTCAACTGAGTCGGTTTGAAATCTACTATTTCTTCAAATAACTGAGTAGTAGTAAAACGTTACACTAACGGGAGCGTGTAACTAACGGCGCATAGAAATGCCTTTGTAATATAAAGAACGGCAACGAAATTGAATATACTTAAGTTCATTATTTGCCAGCGCGAGGGTGAGGCCACCGAGTGAAAAGTTGACCTGTGTGGAGACGTAATCTGCGGGATAGCTGCTTCGAGACATCCCTTCAGAGTAGTTCAGGGCTGTGTACAGCTTTTGCTTCTCCTCAGCAGTCATTTCCGACTTCACGCGCTGAAGCAGCTGAGGATCATCCCCTCCGGTGGGAACACCTGTCGTGCCACTGGAGCCCGTGAGCCAGGAGAACCACCCACCACCAAAACGACTGCTATCCGCTTTACTGGCCTTGCGCTTCGCGGCCTATAACGTCAATATCTACTACATCACCCAAATAGTATAGTGAAAGAGAAGATAAAATAATAAATAAACCTTCTCGAAAAGTGGATAACTAGCCGAACGATTTGGGAGAACTAGATGAATAATTTGAGGTTTGTTTGGCATGAGGCATAACATTTACCGAATGCATGCCCATCTAAGCACTAGCTAGTATGGAAGCAAAATTTACTAATGGGCAAGTGGGATTTGAGTATCGTAACTTACGACAAAATTCTCACACTTCGACTAATTTAGTACCCGTTCACCATAGATTACACTAAGCCTGAATAAGACTTTCTGCTATAATTACACTGTAGATAGACAAATAAATCTACAAGACTGATTACCAGCAGATATAGCTTAAATTTTAATTTTCCCAAATCAATTTTGCTGGAGAAGAAGCGGCAACCATTGTTTAAATAATCCGCAGATGGCCACTTATTAGACGTCCGATCTCCTACGTTCTGAAGATACGGAGCATCAATAATCCTAGGATTTGAAGTCGTGATTTATCGACTAACATCCATAATTAGATAGGTCAACCATCAAAAACCCAGATCAACAAGTTGTCTTCATTAAGGAAAGGCACGACCAAAGGTCGTGTGAGTGCTGTTAAGTGAAACACAATGAGAAAGGTACAGACAATAAACCTCAACTATACAGGACGCGTACATCCTTAGTTTAGTACCAACGGATTCTTTCACATGCTGATTGTACAATTAAATAGCAAAGGTTTTTAGATAAACGCTTTGCAAAGCCAATTCAGTGGCTATTTAACTGTGTGAATCATTTGAATAAATCAGAAAGTGCCATACACTTCACATCAAGAACATCGATTTTACAGTTACGAGCATGCAATTACAATAACGAGTCTTACCAGACGGGGCCGTTTTCTCCTCATTTTATCTGACTGTTAAAAATTATAATGACCTTACCATTGGACAGATATCAAGAAAATGAGTGGAGCTATTCTTATATTCACTTGCGTCCCAAAATAGAAAAGGCTGTTATTAGTCGAGCGCAGAAAACTTTGCATTAAAGGGACATATTCGATTGATTAAAGGTGCAGTAGTTTTAGCACATTAAAAAAACATTCATTGATCGGAATGCTGCAATTTACATATGCTTCGAAGGTCTTGCTGCTTATTTGTAAAAAACACAACAACCTCAACTTATATGTTTTTTTTTTCAAGTAGCTCTGACTTGGGGGATCGGTTGCCAATGTGAACGAAATGAGGCTGCTAGAGTGGGTTTACATTTAGGTTCGCAAGTATCCACTAAGTTAGCTAGACCGAGGCTGGCTGACTTGGACCGAATTCAATGACATGTGACTGGAGGCAATTAATTTACTGGTATAAAATAAAGCTCGTGTAAAAACAAGGCAGCACACACAACAATTATATTACCTTCTTGAAGTCTCTTATTTGCACAAAGGAAATAAAATTCGAAAGAACAAAAGAAATCAAATCTCTACCACACTCGGTGAATATCTGGTCTCCGTTCGGAAAGATATAAAAACTAAGTTACTTGAAAAGTAGTTGTGAGTCCAGCAACTCATGCAAAGTTTGACCTGCATACCTTTCATTAATTTTTAAGGTTTGCATTATTATAACTAAAATTTAAAAAATGTCCCATAGTGGGAAAATTTACCCGAATTTCTGCATGCTGCCGCGCCATGACAAGATTCATAACATCTAGTTCATCCTCGTAGTACTATAGTCATTTAAGAAAAAACCAACATGAGGTACACTTTAAATACAGGTCTTTTAAATACTCAATCCAGCCAAATATTTCCAGACCTATGGCCCTAATCTATACTAGAACATAAGAGCCGTGTGTTATACAAGATTAGTCTTAATAGAGCAGAAAATCAAGGTTCTGAAATGATTTTTGTATTTCCAGAGGATAGTTTAATATAGGAGCTCTTAACTTTTATTTGATCCATGAAGTGAGTCCAAAATCATTTACAGAAAGGTTCAGAAATGATGCCTTGATACCTCACTACAACCAGTATTTTTGTGCTAACTTGATTGAATATGCTGGAACACATCTAAATATATCGAGACAATAGACGTAAAAGCGCACAAAAGATGATTTCGTGGTAAGAATTTTGTTATATGAACGCGTATTTACAGATTCTAATGGATGGATACAATTAGGTATTCAATCACAAAAGAAATAAACTTTTCCCGGCACTAATGGCGAGGAATTTAAGTAATCACGAAAGTCCTTAGTACATGAGTGCAACCTCCACTGGGCGCAAGCTTTGTAAACAGGTGGCTAATCAAAAAATCACTTAAAGACTTTTCACATAGCAGAGTAATCCAGCAAATAGAGCTCGAAGCACCACTGCACCTTACATTTAAAATTCATTGATACAGTATTTCCGAGCTTGCAAGTTAATCAGATAGTGCATTACCTCCATCTTTGCAAGCTGCGTAACAGAAATCGATTCCTTTAGTAGTTTCTTTGTCCATAGATCCGTATAGTCGCGCACCATTTGTCGATGTTCCTGGATATGTTTCCACGACCACATTTTAGAACGTCGACGTACAATTTCTTCCAATACTGCTGTGTATGCGAATACCCACCTGCATATATTAGGTGTTTCAGTTTATGTTTATACATAAAGAATTGGCAATACACAAAAATAAAAGTTTCGAAGAATGTTGACAGAGCATAAAAAGCAGACAAGAAGGACAAAAACATGGTAAAAATATTCATACCTTGCTTTAGCAGTGTTCTTGTGTGAAACCAATGATTTATACTTCCAAAATTTGTTTTGTAGCATGAGTCGGTCCACAGAATCGAGAAGGAGGATTGCGCCAATATACTGGTTTTGTTGAAATCCAATTTCAATTTCCTCAAAATTAATATCAACACTGATTTGGGGAATCGTGAACTGAACTTTTTCTGGTTGCATGTGTACATGAAGAAGGGCGTTAAAAGAAATCGGACGAAGGACTAAAACATCAGACGAAAAATACTAAAATATATTTCGCATTATATCGGCATAATTGGAAAAATGATTGCATACTGTAGGCGATGTCCACAGTGGTCCTCTCTGAGCTAGCAATTGAAGACATCATCAAATTCTAGAAATTATTACATTTAACTGAAGCCGTACACGAAGAGGACCAATAGGTAGATTTGCGTAAAGTTTTGTGTCGTGATTCCAATAGATAGCAAGGGAATCCAGTTCAACAAGCTAAAAGTTGAGTTTTAAAGAGCCAATCTCACCTTGAAAAATTCCTTTGATAGATCATTACTTAGAATAATAGGTTTTCCGGAATCGTCACAGGTCTAAATGAAGCTAAGGACTAATAGAGAAATGTGTACCTGAAAGGCGAGTCGACTCAACGTTAATCCAGCAGAAAAACGAATGCTAGGTATGGTCGTTTGATCTTCATATCGGATGTGAATATTTGTAATCTTGACTTGCACATTCTTAATTACTTGAGCAGCCAATTTTTCCAGAAAGGAATCCTGGTCATCCGTTTTTTCTGATAAAGACTAATACATATTAGGAACCGCAAACCTGATAGTTTCTCCTTCTTAAGCTCCTCAAATGCTTCCAGCGTCTTTTGTTTCAGTTGGCGCCTGTATTGTCGTTCCTTACCCTCATCATAAACGACACCTTAGAATAAAATGACGTTAAAAATATTTCAAACCAGGCCGAGGAACAGCAAGGATATATAGTCCATCTAGTTCAGCTACTACGGGTTCTGAATATAAATTTTTGAAGGGAATTTGAAGATTAAGACGACCTAAGGAATGCAGTCCATGAAATAGATAACCATACGGATGTGGCCCTGGACAACCCGTACAGGCATCGAAAATTCATCAAAGGCGGTAGCACGAACATCAACATTCTCCAAGGAAACGTTGCCTACAGCGAAATTTAGTCAAGAAAGAGACTTTGAAACTGTACCAGAAAGCAACCCAAGACGTAGCTGTGAGGCATTTACAGTCTCTAAGTAAGTCCCCAAATAACGATTCAAGAGATCAGCTACTAGGGTCTCAAACACCATCCTTCTGAAGTATGTAGTCCAAGGTCGATTCACTTTAAATCACAACCTTGGCTAACCAATTAGAAAGTGTCCTTCAAGCGCATAGTTTTCATTATTTTATGGCATCAGCAGTTTAAGCTGCAGATTGCATTAGTAAATAATGTCAGAAAACCTGCAGTGAAAAAGAAACAATACTAAAGAGGTACCATAAAAGTAGTTTTCCAAGCTGTTAGCTGTATTTTGTCATTTACTTTGGTAATTGTCAATGTAAGCTGTTACCCATATTTCAAAAATGATTCGATATGCTCAGACATTGAGGGTAATCCAAATTTCAAGTGACCTTCAGGTCATGAAATATCACAAACTTGCATAAAAGTAATATTTATTCAAGTCTTTGTTAATATTTCCCCCATTAGGTCGTTACATTCGTATCCCTGAAATCGACACCACACAGTGGAAGATCCAAGTCACACTGGATAAGGTGTAGGTCTCTTTCTGCTCCTCAGGGATGCAACTAATGGCTTTTAGTATGCGAGGTATGCGTGTTGATCTTCAAATGACCTACTTGACCACCGAAGTGGCAGTGGCTCTCTCGGACATATGCATCTCCGACCTCAACGATGACAC